AATACATCAGTACAACCAACAATGTAATCGCAGATGCTTTGTCGAGATTTCAGTGGCACCGATTCCGAGCAGCAGCACCAACAGCAGAGGCGCAACCGTCCCCACTTCCGGACAACCTTTGGACCATGTCTTTCAGTGGCATTTAGAAGTTGTACATTGATGTCCAAGATATTTTTTATGGATTAAACTTCTTTTTTAATTTCTCTCATAACGTTTCGAGACCATTCCAGGTCCCTTCATCAGGTGAACTGGCAGTTAGGACTATGACGTCGTCACTATGACTCAGTAATGACGTCATAGTGACGACGTCATAGTCCTAACTGCCAGTTCACCTGATGAAGGGACCTGGAATGGTCTCGAAACGTTGTGAGAGAAATTAAAAAAGAAGTTTAATCCATAAAAAATATCTTGGACAACCTTTGGACCATCTGACAAGGGAGGCTGACAGATTGCTACAATCATCACTGGCGAGTAACACATGGTCAACCTACCAAGCAGTTGTTGAGGCGCTGCGAGCATTCAGGACAACATATGGGATCCCGGAAACATGGCCAGTACCACTGGATAATCTTGTTCATTTCATTGCTTACTTGTCTATGACAGGGCTTGCACCTAACACAGTAAGGACGTACATCACCGGTATTGCGACTTCCCACAAGCTGCGCAATATGCATGACACCACAGGACATTTTATCATTACCAAAATGATACAAGGTATGTATAAAGCCAGTCCAAGAAGGGCCCTGCGAAAACCAATGACATTGGAACTGTTACAGGTAACTGTAACAAATCTAAGGTCAGTATGTCGTTCCGAAGTTTCCCTTTTCAAGCTGTATACTGTGTGGCGTTCTTTGGATTTTTTCGGGTAAGTGAATTGGTACAGGCTGGACAACAACACCCCGGTTGTCAGGCTCAAGAGGTCACCATAGAAGATGGCAACCTGTTAGTTACTCTCCGTCACTCAAAGTCGGACAGACTTTCAAAAGGTATTACTATCAGAATTTCCAGCTCTCCAACCCATGGTCCGTGCCCGGTAGCAGCATACAGAGCTTATTTGGGTAAGCGCACAAAAGGATCACAGCAGGCCTTTGTACACATTGACCATACCCCACTAACTAGGTATCAGTTTCAAGCAGTTTTAAAGAAATCCCTTGCTTTCAGTGGGATTGACACTTCCTACTATACCTCCCATTCTTTTCGGATAGGAAAGTGTATGGAAGGAGGACCAGAAAGCATAAAATTTTGCTGGGTTTGCATCAGAAAATGCTGTATATTTGGTAGCTTTATAGTAGTTGAGTATTTCCCTTTGAAGCACTAAAATCTGGCTTTATATTATTTCGGCTTGTTTTATATAGCATAAAACACCAGATTAAGTGGGTTGTTGTTTTTACCTTTGAAACCAAAGATAATATTTTCGTGCGACAAGTTAATATTTCCTTCAGACAATATATCAAGCCAATTGGATACCTCCTTCCATACTTTCACGGTATATCGGCATTCACACAATAAATTAATGATTGTTTCAGGAGCAGATTCACAGAATGAGCACATTGAAGAGTCTGTGTAAATTCATCAAGTGTAACTTATGTTTAGTCATTAAAATCTTGTGAGTAATATTGAAATGAAACCATCTTAACTGTACACTTTCTGTGCATCTATTTGCCATTAAATATATGTTAGACCAGTCTTCCTTGTTATATTGTTTGTTGAGGATGTCTTCCCACTTTTTTTTGGCTTGTTGGTCTAGTTTCAACTTGAGGTAAAAGTATGTTATAGAAGGATTTACTCCTTTGGTTTTGTCCGCAAATGCAAGATATATTAAAGGGTAATGTTGGGTATTTGACCTGATAGGTCCAACCCGTATCAGGTACTTTTCTGAGTCTGCAATATGCTAAGACAGTACTCTTTATACCTTCTAGATGGAGGAAGTTTATATTTGCAATTCCATATTTTATTTCTATTTTCTATGTCAACTTTATGTAAGAAGTTTCCATTGTGATCTAAAATATCACAAACTAACATTATTCCCTTTTTTGCCATATTTTCATAGTAGATTGACTTTCCCTCTATTTTAATGTTATTATTAAACCATAGAGACTGTTTGAAAATATCTGATATTCCTTGCACATTTGTGTAACACCTTTTTAGGTAGTGGCACCATGCCGTTAACACATCACTCCAAAATTTATTTGAGACACTGGGAATAATATTATTGCACACATATTGTGCATCAGCATACCATAATTTATTTGAATCAACTAGGATTTCATTTGCAATAGAAGTACATTTTGAACTGTTAAGCAAAAACCGTTTAATCCACATTATTTTTTGAGCATTTATAGTAGTTTTTACAATGGGTACACTTATTCCTCCATCCTTTGGTTTAAGATGCATAATTTCTCGCTTTACCTTATCTGTTTTCCCTTGCCAAACAAAATTAAAACACTTTTTTTGAAACTTTTGTAATGTGTCCTCGGATGGGCTAGGAATGGATGAAAATAGGTGGTTTAACTTTGGTAGAAGCAAGGATTTCAGGATAACGTTTTTGCCCATTGGTGTCAAATATCTCAGAGACCAAATATTCATTTCTTGGTAGATTTTTTCAAATTTATCATTATAGTTTAGGTCTACATTATTATTTAACTCAACATCAAAAACTATTCCTAAAAGTTTGAAATTTGACAGTGTCCAGTCCAGATTCCATTCCTTGCACATCTTATACATAGATCTTTTTTTTACCCTATCCATATTAGCCTGGTTTTTTCTGCGCTAACTTTTAACCCTGAAAATCTTGCAAAGAAGGCTAATGTGTTCAAGACTGCAGACAAACTTGATTCAGATCCGTGGTCTGCGAATTGGGCTAAAAGGCTTTGTATATTACCTATCTTTATCCCTTTAATTTTCTTATTTTTTCTTATTAGAATAGCTATTTCAGCACATAAGATAAAAATGTAGGGTGATATTGGGTCTCCCTGTCAGCAGCCCCTAGTTATCTTGAAGAACTTGCTCGCGAACCCATTTACTAATACACTTGATTCACTATCGTTTAGCAGTACTTGTATCCAATTTTGAATGTATGGTCCAAAGGTGAAAAAGTCTGTTACATTTTGCATAAATTTTCTGTCAACCGAGTCAAAAGCTTTTTTCAAAATCAATGAGCAGTAATAATCCTGGAATTTGATATGATTCAGTATAGTCCATTTCGTCGTATATCTGCCTTGTGACTTCTCCTATGTATCTTCCTTGAATAAAACCTTTTTGATCCTCACTGATAATAAGTCTCCAGTTTTTAAGCAACTTTTTACTTTTACCACTCTTAGGGATACATGTAATAAGACCTTGTTTTTGTGATATGGACATAGAGCCATTTTCATATGCATAATTCAAGGAGTTAATAAGAAATTTATTTAAGTCATTCCAGAAAAACTTGAGGAATTCACTGGAGAATCCATCCGGGCCCAGACTTCTATCATTTTTCATTTTCTTTAAAGCGGCAAGTGTTTCTTTGTATGTTATTTCTCCCTCTAAAGATGAGGCAGCTTCTTCTGACAGTTTAGGTATTTCATCTTCTCTGAACAATTCTCCTAATTTTATTTGTGTGCAGTCTTCACTTAAATAAAGTTTTTTGTAGAATGTTCTAGTCTCTTCTAGTATTTCCTTATAATCTTTTATCACTGTACCGTCCTTTTTTCCAATTCCATTATTGATTTATTTTAAAAAATTCTGCTTTCTAATTGTAAGAAGTAATTTGATGGTTTTTCCCCTTGTTCGATCCACTTTGCCTTAGATCTTATGTATAAACCTTTTATCTTTTGTTTGGTAATTTCTTCTAAGTCTTGTTTAACTTCATTCACTTTTTTTAATATTTCTGTCTTTTTTTCAGCTGGTTCTGTATCCAGGTCGATTTCCAATTCTCTTAATTTATTTTCCAAAGCCTTTTCTCTGTTCAAAGTCATTTTCTGTTTTGTAGATGAATAGTATATGGTCATACCTCTAATTTCTAACAGTAAAATTTCCCATAATAGTTGATCATTTATGGTATATCTTGTTTCTTCGGCTTTTGCTTCCTTTTTAACTTCATATTGTTGTAGGGTATTCTTTATTGTAGTTTTTACTTTTTCCACATATTTTTCATTGTGAAGTAATGAGTTATTGAACTTCCAGAATCCTTTCCCTATTATCATATCTCCTAAAGATATTGACAGTGAGATTATTGAGTGATCTGAATTAATGCTTGGGGATATATCGGTTTTTGTAACTGCCTGCAAAAGATTATGTGATACAAGGAAAAAATCTAGCCTAGATTGTTTAAGCGGGGTTGGTTGTCTCCAAGTGAAGCATTTTTTTATATGGGTTTGATTCTCTCCAAGGGTCTTTCAAGTCTAATAGAGTTATAACATTTAATAGTTCTTGTCTGGCTTTTGGGTTATTTGTAGTTATAGGTGTCTAAGTCACTGTCTAGTATCATGTTCCAATCTCCACATATCATAAATTTATCATTTTCTTGTCGTTTTAGCATATTTTTGATATTTGTAACGAACTCGGGGCAATCTTTATTAGGTCCATATACGTTAATAATTGTGTAGTCACTATCATGTATTTTTACTCTCAGTAAAATATAGTTTCCATTATCCATATCAATTTGTTGATCTGTAACCTTAAATTCAAAATTGTTATTAAAAAGAATAGCTGTTCCCCTTGCATTGCTTCGAAAATGGCTGAAATAACATTCGCTATAGCCCCATTGCTGTTTAATTAACTGTTCTTGCTCAGTAGTGAAATGAATGTCTTGAAGACAGAATATGTTTGCCTATTTTAGCCTTAAGAACCTGAATACCTGTTTTCTTTTAAAAGCATTATTGAGACCTCTGCAGTTGAGAGATAGAATTTTTAGATTTTCCTTATTTACATTTTGTTTCATTATTTACCTTACAGTGACTTGGTTGCTTCATAAGTTGATTCCCTGTTGACAGAGGGAATGTCTGCTGTACGCTACTCACCTGGGACAGATCAGAATGTGTAGGTATCTCGTGAAGTCCAATTGAAATATCTTCTGAGAAATCCAAAAATATATCCTTGAGATTCATAGCAACATCTTGTGGCACAGGAACAACCTGCAACAAAAGTTTGCACAATTTTATAGATAAAAATATATCATAGAATTAATGCAGATCAGAATTATTTAAATGGAAGCTTGATACTATATAACCCTCAAGCGACGTCACTCTATTGTCTCACAAGGTTCACCTTTTACCGAGTAAACCTCCACAGGCAGTTACGCAGGCATTCACCATGAATTCCAAGGGATTTTGTACAGAGTTCCCCGTGTCCCTTGGATTTGACATTGAATTATTTTACTTGCATACGTTTTGAAGATTGATAGAACTTGCTATTACTGAATACAATCATAAAATATCAAATTGTTGAAAATGTCCCATATATTGTACCGGTGTAACAGGCCAAACTTTCTCCCTGGCCAAACCTTCCCCGGGAAAAACTTTGGCCTAGGACAAACTTTCCCCCCTAGGCTTACTCTTCCCCGTGGAAAGTTTGTCCCAGGACATCTGAATCAAAGACTCACAAAAGGCCCCCTTCTCTGGAAAATTCATTTATGGCTCCAACTTTCCAACACATTTTCATCATGATCATTAAGATCAGTTGGTGATGTGTTGGGTAAAATTTCAGGTTTAAAACTCAAACAGTTCTTGAAATAATTTGTCAAACATTTCGAGGAATGCACAGAATGATGGAATGGATTTATGGATGGATAGAGGGACAAACTCCCATATTCCCATATCTCATGCCCACTTTTCAGAAGTATAACATTTGAAACTGGGGATGTAACCAGAAGTTAAAAGGTTTATTTCAAAATGATTATTTCAAAAACTGCTGTTACCTGAATTTGAAGATGTTGAGTCCTGTAGTTCCTCTCATAGAATACAACCTCCTTGTTTCTTGATTTGAAGTACTTCTTCAAACATGTCTTATAGGTGGCCAAGATAAGGAAATGTCTTCCATATTGTTTCATGGGTTATATTTGGACATTATCAACAATAATATACTAAGCAGCAAAAGAAACGCATTTTGGAATTTTCCTTTGCAGAAATGGATAACTGTAAACTCATTTAATGTTTTGATTGTATATTTCTGACAACATCTTCAACTTTACCTGAGCAAAGACATTCCTTCCCAAACTCAGAATCGAACCAAGGAAATGGTCTCAAAAACGCAACCTGATCTCGGAGATGGTACGGTATTCTCCATGTTTTTCATGCAACTCATGCTGCACGTGCTGTTCACAAGGACCAGCCCTATAAAATGCACCCCCAAACCTGATTGAAACATTCACATTACTAAGTCAGCAGGGTGCCGCGACTCATGACAGCTCAGAAGAACCGGGACTAGGAAGACTTGAAGCTGACCACACTGCACAAGCCGCTGCCAATCACTTCCAGGTCAACGTTCGCACCATCTACCGGCTGCAGCAACATTTCTGGGCCACTAACACCACAAATGATCATCCCCGTACTGGCAGACCAAGGGTGACCACAAGACGACAAGACCGCCATGTTGTGCGACAGCATGTACAGAATGCCTTCATGCAGGCATCCGAAACAGCACGCCAGACAGTGGGAACACACGGAAGACCAATCAGTACTGATACAGTAGGCCAACGTCTTAACAGCGGGAACCTCCATTGTCGTAGACCTTACCGTGGACCTATCCTCACCCCTCATCATCAGTGTGAACGTCTACAGTTTGCCCCAACAACACCAAAACTGGCGATACAGGCAATGGAGAACTTTTCTGTTCACAGATGAGAGTCGGTACTGCATATCAACTGCAGATGACAGAATAAGAATATGGCGACGAAGTGGCCAGCGTTACTCAGACCAATGTGTTATGGAAAGAGACTCATGGGGAGGTGCAATCATCATGGTATGTGGTGGAATAGGCCTCAACCAGAGAGTGGGTCCCATGGTGTTCCAGAACCTTGGTCCTTGGAGAGAAGGCGGAATCACAGCGGTGCGCTATATCCACCAAGCTCTCAGCCCCACATCATACAACATTTCGCACATCACCGGAAAAACATTTTCCAGCATGACAACGCCTGGGCCAATACTGCCAGAGCTACACGGGACTTCCTACAGCAGAACGGTGTCAACATTAAGCAGTGGCCATCCCTTAGTCCTGATTTAAACCCAACTGAACATCTTTGGAGGAAACTGAATAATGTCATATCAGGGCTGAACACAGCTGATTTATTGCGCCAGGCCTTTTTCCGAGTCTGGCTCTACGTGCCACTGGCCTTCATTAATCGATTTGTGCACTCCATCCATAGACGCTGTGCTGCAGTTATTGCCGCTCGTGGTGGTCACACTAGATACTGAAGTCAAGAGTCTGCAATGGACTGTAAACGTTCACGTAATGTCTTGGAATTGTGCTGAGTTATTCATTGATGTGTCAGGATATTGTACACAAAAAAATGTTTTTGATCCGCATATTATGTCCATTTCTGTAATGATTTGATTACAGTGCCTATCTAATTTTGAATTCGTGCTGACGTTTCTTTTGCTGCTGAGTATAATACTTATCAGAATACAACCTCTAACACTTGATTGCCTTATTTCCTGAAACTTGTTTCTGAATCGACAGGTTCAGCTTGACTAAAACATTTTAAGTCACAGGTATTATGTTCTCTTTCATCCTGGTGGTCTTCCAAGCGCAAGAATGTCTCATGCCACAGTTGAGGCAGACATTCATGCACCACACTTGCAAACACATCAAACTGCATCAGACACACCATAGCGGGACAGAGGGTCATACTCCCAGGAAATAGCACAAGACCTCCTTTCAGACACATCACACCATCATTCCCACCTGCTATGGACAAAAACACACCAACCACTACACCACAACAATCCCAACCCAAACCAACATCCGTGCAGGCAAACATATGACCAAGAAATGTTAACTCAACACCACAACAGCCTTCACCTAATGTGGGCTTTTTGTCAACATGTCACCCACCACAGTCCTCTCTCTACACAACCTGACAGACTTCACGTAATGTGGGTATCTTTTGTCAACATGTCACCCACTGTGTCCACCATGGCATACTTGGCTAAAAATGGGACTTTGGTTAAAAGAAATGAAAATCCCCCATTCAAATATCTGTGTAAAATATAGGTTTTCAGCTAATTTTGCCTAACCTTGAGGTATTTAATGGCCCTAAATTGGAACATTATAAACAAGAGTCATCAGAGGATGACAAATCCCTCCGGGCCCCCACAAATTTGAAAGAACAAATCATCTGACAATTACATAAAGTCCAACTTGATTCTTTTACACTAAGTCCAAATCGTTTCCATGGAAGTCATGAAAAATATCAATGCAAAAAGTCGGCAAATAAGGCACCACTTTGGGACCTGTTTGATATATCTGCCAAGTCTTGTAGAAAGATATTGAACAGTTTTCGAGTTGTGCTCTGGAAACGAAGCCCACCCCTCCCTTTTGAGACTAAGTCCAAAATGTTTTCATGGAAACCAAGAAAAATAGAAATGACAAAAAAGGCACCACTTTAGGTTCTTGGTTGATATATCTACCAAGTTTTGTTGAAAAATAATGAATGCTTTTTGGGTTACGCTCCAGAAACAAAATGATTACAGACAGACAGACAGACAGAAAGAGGCGTCTACTATTTCCCCCCGCAATACATGCCGAGGGGATAAAAATCATAATAATTCTTAGAAGACTACCCTTAACACTTAATAGCCTTAATTCCTGAAACTTGTTTCTGATCCACAGATTTAGTTTGAATATAATTATTAAGAGACCAAGGTCTTGTGTTATCTTTCTTCCTAGTGGTCTTACCAAGCTCTATCCATAGAGGCATCTAAAATAAGCACAGGAACCTCAAAACTTTTCCTAGGGTACCAAAAGGAAGGCACCTCTGATGACATCACTATGATGACCTGATGACGTTACGTTCGGTTAATATATATGCCACTCAAATGTTTGTTCCTGATCTGATTCTCCACCGTTGGAATCTGTCCCATTCATGTACAGCAGATTTTGAAGCTTTGACTGTTAACAGCTGGCAAAATACTGACAAACGAGGAAGTTGCATAAGTAGTGAAATACATTTCACAGTGTTTAGAAATGAGCCCTAAATCTACAATCAATACCAAAACCCTAGTATTTTCAATTTAAAGGGAAATTGTAATTTAGTTTAACTCTTCATGCAACACAGATATAAATCTATCCAAAGATCTTTCATCCTTGGTGCTCTTGGCAACAGTACACTTAAAATTTATGCATACTCTATTACAAAACAATATAGAGATGCAAATGTGCAGAATCAAACTTGAACCTTTTACACTTGGCAAACACAATTTATAGTTGCTGAAAACCTACATCTTCAAGATGGCTTTTGAATAGAATTCTTTTTACTCTTACTGTGCTTTTAATGATGTATGCAGCACGCTAAAATGTGTGATGGAAACTAGGCACTATACAAGCCAATTATTATTATTACTTATTTATTATTAAGCCCCTATTATATTGAAAAGTACTTTTTTTGGTAAAAACCAATCATTCTAAAAAAAATGGACTAGCCTATCTATTGATTCAATGACATGTGACAACCATTTTCCATCCTCTTCCTATCTCTACGGGGCAGTGGGGTAGTCTAGTGGTTAAAGCGTTGGCTCGTCACGCCGAAGACCCGGGTTCGAATCCCCACATGGGTACAATGCGTGAAGCCCATTTCTGGTGTCCCCCGCCGTGATATTGCTGGAATATTGCTAAAAGCGGCGTAAAACCAAACTCAGTCAGTCAGTCAGTCCTATCTCTACTCTCCAGTTTTCTTCCTGCACATCCAGTACCACTTACATGTCATTGCCTCTCCTATCTATCCACTGCACACAAGTACTTTGTCAAAACATAGAACAGAAGTATTACGATTTTGGGATAAGCTGCACTATGTGGCACCCAATAGATTGCCTTCTGTTATTAGCAGCTGTTCATGGCATTTAGCCAAATTATGGGATAAAATAGTGTCATCTTTATTACAATTCATTGTATCTCCCAGTGCAAGATCTGCTACACATGTCTAGTAGTGAACTAACTTTGTCATTCCAACATATACAGTTGTTAGATCATTGGGAGTGGCTACGGGGAATTGTGGAATGACCAGGGTAATCCCAACAGTAATAAGTTATGCACATGTAGACAGTTTAAGTACACTGTTATTCCAGAACCATACATAACTTCTATACTGCCTACATGGCATCGTATCGTACACGTTAAACTATGCTGTGGGACAATTCCATTAGAAATAGAATGTGATAGATTTTCTCGTCCTCAAACGCCACAGGCAGACAGGCTTTGTCGTCACTGTAGTGGTTAGGCCGTTGAAGACAAAGTCCATTTCTTAATTATCTGTCCTTATTATTTTGATCTTCCGTATGATTTGTTTCAAAAAGTTAGTATTTTACACCCAAACTTTGCGCGGTTATCAAACACTGAACAAGCTGCACTCCTCTTACAAACAGAAAATATTGTTAATCCACAGGCCGCTTTAGTTACCTGTATGTATTGGCGTAAGTTATCACACAGTAGGAGCTGTGAATGGCAGGAAATATTTCATGGCATGGAAATGAACAATTCATCAGGCGAGAGGTGAGCAGGTTTTATATTTTAGGTGTAGGAAAATTGTCAATATCTACATGTATCTTTGTATAGGTCACAATGTCCCCAAACTTCATGCTGTAAAATAAAAGACACACGTGCGTTATCCCACCAAATATCTTTCCATCCCATCATTATGAAGGCCAATGAGCCTGCAAAACAATGTCTAGCTTTGGCTACGTTTCAGTAGTAGTATGATCGGGATCCTGCAGCACTTTGTGTTGTTAGGGTTATTTGTGTCTGAATCCGCTCCCATCGATGGTAAAAATTGGGTGTGTTGGCTGTGTGACCATCGTTG